AATGTTATAAAACTATTGAGAATCCTACAATCATAATTAGTTCTTGTCATGCAAAGAGAAATTGTTTAGGATAATGAAAATATTTCATAGAAAGTATTGAAAATTGAGAGAGTTATGCACTTGTGACCATAAATCAAGAACTTGCCAAATTAGGTGAAACAATCTTGAATCAACTTTGAATATTTTGAGACTTGCTTGCAATATAAGGCATGATAAAGCACATAGGACCTTGAAATGACATTATCTTGGATCACACTTGATGATGAAGCTCATAGGTTGATGAAACTTGTTGAAGAAGGCATGTAAATAAACACATTAACCTATGAAGTTTCTTGATGACTCAAACCACAATTCCTTGAGATAAACTTGAACAAGTGAAGTTTAGAGGGAATAAAGACGTGTCTCTTTGATGATGGGAGCATAGATTTCAGGTTCATGCTTTTAAGGTTCAATGAATGATCAATTTACTGAGGATCAATTCTCAAAACCCTAGCTTAGGAGATAGGATAGATGCTCTTGGCTTAACACCTACAATGTGCAAAGCATAAAAGGGAAACAAAACATCTTTTGTATTTTAGTTAAAGGTTAGTAAACATAAAAATATGCATGTATAAGATACACAATTAGGGTGCTTGGTGATCCCTCAAGGACAAACTTAAATAAGGGAAAAGCACATATGAGAGGCAACCCAAAGTTGTGATCTTGATGCATTGTGAGGATGTGGAATGATAAGGGATCTTAAGGGTAAAAATTAGGGTATAACAGAGGGAAAGATATGCTAAAAGGTGTACTCTATGTACCTGGAATGAAGTGCAACTTGTTAAGTGTTAGACAACTGGTCGAAAAAGGTTTCTTCGTTGTCATGAAAGATGGAGCTTTAAAATTGTTCGGCACGCAGAACAATTTTGTCTTGAAATCTCCTATGTCTAAGAACATGACATTTAAGACTATTATCAGTTCGACTTAAGTAAAATGTCTAAAAACTATTGTCGACCATAAGGATAGTTGGTTGTGGCATTTGAGATTTGGACATTTGAACTTTCGATCACTCAATCAACTGATTACTCAAGATATCGTATCTGATATCCCAAGTATTGAGATGTCTGACAAACTCTGTGAAGGTTGTTTAGTCAGAAAGCAATCCATAAATTCTTTCATTTCGACAATGCCAATAGGACCAACCTAAATACTCGAAGTGGTACATTCAGATGTATGTGGCCCATTCGAAGAACAGACCATTGGTGGAAAAATATATTTTGTTTCTTTTGTCGATGAGTTTAGTCACAAGATTTGGATCTATGTGATCAAAAGAAAGGACGAAGTATTTGAAATCTTTAAGAGATTCAAGATACTTGTCGAAAACCAGAGTGAGAAAAATATCAAGTTCTGCGAACAGATGGATATGGTGAATACACATCCAAGATTTTTGAAGATTTCTGTGCAGAACATAGTGTAAGTCACGAGGTAACTGCTACTTATACACCTCAACATAATGGAGTTGGAGAAAGAAGAAACATGAATATATTGGTTATGGCAAGACGCACGCTGAAGCAGAAGAATTCGCTAAAATCCTTATGGGGTGAAGTTGTTTCGACTGCAGTTTATGTTTTGAACATGTGCCCTAACAAGAAATTGAAGAACATGGTTCTTGAAAAAGTGTGGAGTGGCAAATGACCATCAATAAGTCATTTTAAAGTGTTTGGCTCAATGTGATACAAGCATGTTCCTGATGCAAAAAGAAGGAAGCTTGATGACAAGAGTGAACTTACGATTTTGGTAGGATATCACAAGACTGGTGCATACAGGCTATGCAATCCAATTAATGAAAAGATTGTGTTAAGTCGAGATATTGTGATTGGGGTAAATTATGCCTGAGATAGGAATTCTGGTGATGCAATCAACAAGTCATTGATTTGCTATGGTTTCGATGAAAAAACTGATGTAGTCGAAGATGAAGGAGTTGTTGATATTCCAATCGAAGTCGAAGTAGTTGTTAACATTCTTGAATCAGTCAAAGTCGAAGAGGTGTGGCTAGCACAAGCCAAAGACCTCAAAGAACTAGAGTTTTTGCAGCAAGACATCATGATTATGAAGTGGTTGGTGATGATGAAGTCACACCAGATGGAGAATTAGTTCATTTTTCTTTACTTGCAAGTGCTAAACCAATAAACTATAGTGAGTAAATTGTGGAAGTCTATTATGATCGAAGAGTTATAGGTAATCAAAAGAAACAACACATGGGAGTTAGTCGAATTTACAGCACACACAAAAGCTATCAAAGTAAAGTGGGTGTTCAAGTTAAAACAAAATGCTGATGGATCGATAGTAAGACATAAAGAAAGATTAGTAGCTCGAGGATTTCTTTAAAGAGCAGGACTCGAATACTCTGAAGTATTTTCTCTAGTAGAAAGATCGGAGATTGTTCGACTACTGGTAGCATTGGCATGCAACCAAGACTGGTCAACATTTCATTTATATGTGAAACCCTCATTTCTGAATGGTCGTTTAGATGAAGAGCTCTATGTCACACAACATCTAGGGTTTGTGATTTAGAAGGAAGCGAGTAAAGTATATAAGTTGTATAAATCACTCTATAGCCTCAAGTAGACACCTAGGGTATGGAACAAAAAGATTGACTCATACTTAGTAGAAATGGGATTTGTAAAATGCAAGTCTAAGTATGGTGTTTATGTTCAGGTTGTGGCAGAAGATATACCAATCATTTGCTTATATGTCAATGACTTGCTGGTAACTGGAAATAGCCTGTAGAACTTGTCAAAGTTCAAAGAGCTGATGATGAGAGAATTTGAAATGTCAGATCTGGGAAAATTACCTTAATTCCTAGGAATGGAATTTCAAATGTCGAAGCAAGGTATGGTACTACATCAAAGGAAGTATGTCAAAGAGATACTCGACATAATCAAAATGGATAATTCAAATCTTGCATTCTCACCTTTCAAACCAAATGTGAAGTTGGAGAAAAATGGAGAGAAAGACAACGTTGATGTAACTTTGTTCAAGCAAATTGTGGAATCTCTAAGGTATTTGTGCAGAAATCGACTTGATATAAGTTTCGCAGTAGGATTAGTGAGCATATACATGAGTGAACCAAGAATGTCACACATGAAAGCTACAATAAGAACTCTGAGATACTAAAAGGATCGATAAACTGTGAAATACTATTTCGAGAAAACTCTGAAAGTAAAGAAGCTACATGTACTTGTTTTTTAGATGCTGATTGGAGTGGAAATAAGGAAGATCGAAGAAGCACAACTGGATATTTCTTTCAAGTCTTTGGTTCCACAATCTCAGGGTTTTAAAAAAAGTAACTTGTGGTAACATTATCTTCATGTCAAGCAATTTGGATCAGATCAGTACTTGAAGAAATGGAGGTCGAAGTGTAGAAACTTTTTGTGTTCCAAATTGACAACAAGTCGATTATAAATTTGGCGAAGAATCCAATTCTGTATGGAAGGAGTAAGCATATCGAAGCTAGATTTTACTTTTTGAGGGAAAATGTAAAGGAAGGTGAACTTGAAGTTAGACATTGCTCAAATGAAGCACAGTTGGTCGACATTTTCACTAAAGGATTAAATATCGACATATTCCTGAATTTGAGAATGAAATTAGGAATAATTCAGTTTGACTATTTTTGGAGTATGTTCGACAACTTGGATTATGGGGGGTATGTTGAAATATTAGATATAATATTAGATATAATCTAAGTTGTATAATCCAAGCCCAAGCGTAATTAGGGTTTGTTAGCCTACTTAGTGTATAACTTAGGTGTATATATAGTCATAGTTTGTATCATTATTTATACAATTCATGTCAATAATACAATAATTATATTTCTTAATTCTCTCTTTCTCTCCTCACTAAAAGTGTCTCACGCACTAACAATAGAAAGAAAAATACCAAAAGCACCAGAAGATAACACAATTTAGAACTCTCTAACCAAAGACCTGCGAAAAACGACACTAATCTCCACTAAGCAACAAAAATACACTTAAGGATGGCCGAAAACACTAATGCTACTATTGGCTCATATGTCAGACATGGTTCTCTAGGAAGGCTGAGAAAGCATAGGAGTTCCCCCAGCGACCTACCAAAATACTATTTCTAAGACAAAAGAATACTCACATCATCCTCATCCTTCGCTAGCATTAACTTACTTGTTAATAGACTTTCAAGTGATATATAAGATGAATGACGATATATCAAAAATAAAGATACGCTTAACCTTAATTTAGAGAATCCTTATTATTTTGCTATGGTTATTTATTGTCTATGTCGTTTTCTTCTTTATTGATATTTTTGTCTTTATCAAAAACCGGCAAAATTCATAGAAGAGATCTTCTTCACAAATGAGGAAAAGAAAAATTAAACTTCTGAACAGTCCTCAAAAAAGCATCTCACTAAAAATATGGAAAAAGTGGTTTTCCAAATTATTTGCAAAATTTACTTTATGTCCGGCGTGTCTTAAAATTGCTTTGGCATTTCTAAAAAGAAACTAATTTAAAATTTATTTGATTTTTCAAACTCTCTTTTAAGCCAATACAGCTGATATCGAAAGAACATGTTTTAACTCTTTAACTTTTAATTTTACCATACAGCTGATATCTAAAATTTTTGTTAGCAACAAATTTACTAAATCCTACATACTTCAAATTTGTAAACAAGCCAATATATTTGTGCGCATAATCTCTTCCTTCGTTTATTTAGTTGCTTGATTGTGAATGTATATTTTCACAACACATTTTTACACAACCGTCAAGATTAGTTTAGTCGAATCATATGTTTAAAATCATATAAATATAAGTGCAAATCTATTTTACTTTATTATGGCAATTCAAAATATTGGAAATTACATCGTAATTGAACTTACAATAGTGTTTCTTCCAACTTATTTTAGTAAGAACCCTAAAGACTCTTTGTTGATGTGCTTGTACAATCATGTATAGAATGTACAATTATCAAACATAGATCTCGCAAACTCTTCAACTGCAACAACACCTTATAATCAAACTACACTGGCCGTCAGAATAGCCTATTCCAAAACAAAATGTGGCACAGTTGAAAATAGGACATATTCCGAAAAAGCAAGGTTTTCGGGCAGCTGGTGGTGCTGGGGCAACTGGTGGTGCTGCAATAATGTCAACAATACACAACATTACAAAGGTAATTCTCATATCAATATTTTTATAAACATAAATTCAATTGAAACATAAACATTTTACCTGGCGGAGGTAGATGACCTGGTGGAGGTGGATCAGCTTTACCTGGCGGAGGTAGATGACCTGGTGGAGGTGGATCAGCTTTACCTGGCGGAGGTTGATAACCTGGTGGAGGTGGATCAGCTTTACCTGGCGGAGGTTGATAACCTGGTGGAGGTGGATCAGCTTTACCTGGCGGAGGTTGATAACCTGGTGGAGGTGGATCAGCTTTACCTGGCGGAGGTTGATAACCTGTTTCTAAACTCTCAGCAGCATTATAGCCATCCAGAAATAATACTACTACAAGGACAACTAGAACAGCTGAAGCACTAGTTTTTGCCATACCCCTATATTTTTATACCTGTCTCTTATCTTGTTTTGCAAGGAATAAAATTGGCTTCACAAGAATCCAATTTATAGCACTATATGTTTCCTTAAATGAGAAAATTGATTTATTAAATTGGCTTTGCGTGAGAAATACATTTTGATAATATTAAGTTTGTTAAAACCGTGTGGGAAGCAAACATATATGCATGGTGTTAAATATGAAGATTAACTAGAGTACCAATTGATTGTTATTAGAAGAAATAAATAAAATTAATTAGTTACGTAATTGCAAAAATGGCTAACTATTAACATGCCTTCGTCACTGCATTTTTAATTGAATGGGAATCCTTTAGCTTGTAGTGTGCCAAAAATAAGAATAGACAGCACACTTAAGGCAGCGTTTCTTATCAAAAGCGCTATTAAAAGTGCATTTTAAAATTACGGAAATTTTATCGTAAATTTTAAACAGCGCTTTCTAAAAAAGTGTTGTCTAAGGGGGTTGAATATGGTTTGATAAAGCGCTGCTAAAGGGGGTAGGTACTGAAGCCCTGCTTAAAGGGTGGGCTTACAAAGTGCTTTTTAGAAGCGCCGCCTAAAGGGCGGGCTTAAGCAGCGCTTTGTGAAAGCGCTGCCTAAAGAGGATTAATGTGAATTTATAAAGCACTGCTAAAGGGGATAGGCACCGTAGCGTTTTGGAGAAGCGCTGTCTAAAGGGTGGGCTTACAAAGCGCTTTGTTAAAGCGCCGCCTAAAGGGTGGGATTAAGCAGGGCTTTGCTAAAGCGCTGCCTAAAGGGGGCGGGGGATTAAGCAACACTTTCTACTATAAGAGCTGGCTAAGGGTGGGATTAAGCAGCACTTTCTCAAAGCGCTGCCTAAAGTTATGTTATAAAAAAAACACGCGCCCAACATTTCTATTACAGTAACGTTATTATTTTGCCAAAACCCATTTTCACACAAAAATACAGTTACGAAAAAACCCTTTTTCATGAGCTATTTTCGTTTGATTCTTGACAAAATCGTTGCGCCATTTCTTCAAGGTTCTCATCCTTCTTCCATTCAAGACCGTTTCATTCTTTGTTCCATTCACAACCAATGTTCTCTTCTCCTCTAGGTATGATTTTTGATATATTTAATAATATTGATATATAATGTTGCATCTGGTTTAGTTGATAGTGTTGATTTAGTGTTGACTTAGTGTTGATTTAGTATTGATTTAGTGTTCATAATATTGCATTATATTGTGTTTTGTGTGGCATGTGGTTTTTGCATGTAAGGTGTTTGTGAAAATGTCACAATGAGTGTTGCATGTAAGGTGTTTGTGTAAATGTCATAATGAATATTGCATGTATTGATTGAGAGAAAATATGTTCTTATACAATTAATCGAGCTATACATTTTGGTTTGAGAAGTTGTCGTAATAACACTTATAGTGTTGAAATTGAAAGCACTTCACATATAGTTGAAAATGAAATTGAAAGAACTCATATAGTTGATGGTGTAAAGTTGATAATATAAGTGATTATTTGATGATAATGTAAAGTTGAAACGATAATATAAATATTAGTGATAATATAGAATAGAAACAATAATATATATGTTAAAAATATTGTTTAATATATGTTAAATATATATGTTTAATATTGTTTTATTAGTAAAATATATGTTAAAAAGAATATTAGTGATTATTTAATGGTGTATACATATATGTTTAATGTTGTATAAATATTCTAATGTAATTCTTAATCTATAGATTTTTTTATTATAATGAAATTAATTGATCATTTATATAGGTTACTTGTGAAGAGTGGTGTTTCTGAGCGTTTTCAAGAATATTACACTGTGTGGTTTCAGAAATTGATGACTTCTCTACAGGTATTTAGTTGTTCTTTTAATTTTCTATAGTTGTTTGAATAATTATAGTATTTTTATTTTTGATGAATATGCCTAATTGGTATTAAGCTTTTTAGTCTCTGTCCTTTTTTTTTAAGTATTGTTTTTGTTTAGGGTACTTAGTAGTAAAACCATGGATAAAAAATGGATGACTTCCAATCGATTCTCAAAAGAGTACGAGAATGGGGTATTAGAATTCATTAAATTTGTTGTTGAACATGCCAAAAACCCGAGTCAAATGAAATCTCCTTGCTTGAGTTGTTGTTATGGGGGTTGGGTTGACGCAGTTGGATTAGAATCGCATTTACTGAGGAATAGAATTGATCGAAGTTATACATGTTGGATATTTCATGGTGAGAAAAGTAACGGGAATGTTAAACCGGGGGATTGTACGAAATATGCTTCAGACGACAATGGCAGAGATATATACGATTGTGATCGTATCGAAGAGATTGCAGAAGCACTTGAAGAAGATCTTCAGGATTGTCCCAAAATGTTTGAGAGATTGACAAGCGATGCAGAGAAATCGTTGTATAAAGGTTGCATAAAATTCACAAGACTGTCCACAGTATTAAAGTTGTACAACTTAAAAGTAGGAAACAGATGGTCAGATACAAGTTTCAGAGTTATTATTCCTTATGAAACATATGCTTCCGGAGGATAATGTTCTTCCTGATCGAACTTATGCGGCCAAAAAAATGTTGTGCTCTATTGGCATGAGCTATGATAAGATACATGCTTGTCTAAATGATTGCATTTTGTTTTGAAGCGAATATGCATTATTAAATGAGTGTCCTAAATACGGTTTATCTCGATATAAGAAAAAATTGTCTCTAGAAAAAGTTTTATGGTATTTTCCTATAATTCCGAGATTTAGACGCATGTTTCATAGTGAAACCGATACAAGATACTTTACTTAGCATGCATATGAAAGAATTATTGATGGAATGTTTCGACATCCGACAGATTCACCACAGTGGTCGAAAATTGATAATGATTATCCTGATTTTGGAGGAGAAGAAAGAAACCTTCGCTTGGCATTATCTACAGATGAAATGAACCTGCATGGTCTTCAAAGTATCTCACATTCCATATGGCCTGTGATTATGATTATTTATAACCTACCTTCATGTCTATGTATGAAGTGCAAGTACATGAAGTTATCTATGTTAATTTCTAGACCTAAACAACCAGGGAATGACATAGACGTATACTTGACACCGTTAATCGAAGATTTAAAGATTTTGTGGGAGAACGGTATGGAGGTTTATGATGGATATAGGAAAGAAAGTTTCAATTTGAGGGCGGTGTTGTTTGGCACAATTAATGATTTTCTGGCATACTAAAATCTATCAGGGTATAGCATTAAAGGTCAAAAAGCGTGTCCTATTTATGAAGAAGACACAAATTGGAAGCAATTGGAATTTTGTCAAAAGAATGTAATTCTCGTTCATTGTAGATTCTTAAATTCTAATCATCACTACCGTGGGTGGAGAAAGATATTCATCACCTATGTTGACAGGTTACCAAGTTTGTGAGAAAGTGAAAGATATGAGTACTCAGTTTGGCAAGCCTTTTACAAATACGCTTGTCAAAGGTGGGTGGAAAAAGAGGTCAATTTTCTTTTGAATTGCCATATTGTAAGTCGTTGTATGTAAGACATTTTCTTGATGTTATGCATATTGAAAAAAAATGTATTTGAAAGTATTATTGGTACGGTACTCAATATACAAGGAAAGTCTAAGAATGGCTTTAAACCAAGAAAGAACTTGATAGAGATGGGAATAAGAACTGAATTAGGACTCATGAAGAAAGGAACATGAACATATATGTCGCATGCTACTTATACATTATCTAGAAAGGAGAAAAAAACATTGTGTAAGTTTCTAAGTGAAGTTAAAGTTCCAGAAGGTTATTCTTGAGATATTAGAAGACTTGTGTCTATGAAAGACCTAAAGTTAAAGAGTTTAAAGAAACATGATTTCCATGTTATAATGGATTATTTTCTACCAATAGGTATACGTTATGTTTTTCCAGAAAAAGTAAGAAGCGCCATAACTAAGTTGTGTTTTTTCTTCCGGTCAATTTGTAGTAAGGTTATCGCTCATGAGGTCTTACCAATATTGCAAAAAGAAATAGTTATTACTTTGTGTGAGCTTGAAATATATTTTCCTCCCTCATTTTTTGACATTATGGTACATCTTGTTGTTCATCTTGTGAAAGAGACACAATTGTGTGGACCAAATTATATGAGATGGATGTACCCTGTTGAGCGTTATATGAAAATATTAAAAGCGTATGTGAAAAATCAAAGTCGGCTAGAAGGTTGTATGATTAAATGATACATTGTTGAAGAAGTGGTTGAGTTTTGTAATGAATATTTGAATAATGTTCAATCCATTGGACTACCCAAATCTAATATTTTAGAGAGGAAGGAAGGAATAAATTTAATTGGAAATAAAATTGTGACAATATCAAGGGTTGAACGAGATCAAGTGCATTTATATGTTTTGCACAATGACTCTGAGGTTTAAATCCGAATAGAAATGAAAATTAGATTGTACGAGAGCATAATCAAAGTTTTATACAATGGTTCAAAGATCATATTTATTCAAAGTTTTATTTAGATCCCACTTTAATAACAGAAAGGTTGAGATGTTTAGCATATGGTCCGAGTTTTCTCGTGTTTTCTTATTACGCATACGGAATTAATGGATACATGTTTTATACGAAAGAACAAGATGATAAAAGCACTATGCAGAATAGTGGTGTCACAGTTGTAGCTGAAGCAATGCACATTTCAAGTATGAATGACTTAAACCCTAAATATGAAAATCTATCATATTTTGGGGTTATCGAGCATATTTGGGTGTTTGATTATGAGAAATTTCAGATTCCTATCTCTGGTTGCAAGTGGATCTTAATAGGGTGGGATACAAAGATGGTGTTTATGTTTTTCTTTAATATTACAGGTCAAATGGCCACCAATGAGTAAAAATCACATCCCTCTTCTAATAATGATGGAAACGAAAGAGATGTTAGTGAAAAAGGTACTAGTAATTCATATTGTGTTTATGTTTTTATATTGTGTTTATGTTACTTGAATTTTATATGGTGTTTATGTT